GGTGAAGGTATTTGTTCAAGACGAGCGGCACATAGAAATACATCCAAAAGTGTTTTTGTGACTTTAGGAGCCATTAGAAATGTGACATCATCTGAAAATTTTATCATCTTGAAAATTGTCAAACTTCAAATATATCAACATCAACTTGAATATATCAATGTATATATCAACTTGAAAATTTTATCAAAATTTCAAATAATAAGCAAGAATATACTCGAAAGAAGATATCTATTTTAACCTCATTTCATTAGGAAGCTGTGAAACAGAAATGAGTATTAACTGTAAACAATTCAATGATCATAAAATTTTGACTTTATTAAATTTTACTGATTTACTCAGCAATCCTTTTGACAAGCATAACATCTGTTGTTTGTATGTTATAATATACTGTATTGACAATTAGCCAATTTCTAAGCAGAATTCGACTATATATAACCAACCCACACACGTTTGTCCCGAAAGTAGCAAATCGGTGGCATTGAGCAGGAACTTCAAAACTGCTGGCCAGATTATATCTTTGTGTTTTCCATCACAATTCAGCAAACTATGAACAACAGTTCGCAAAACATTCTCTATTTCGTGTGCCTGTTGTATTGCGCTTACTCCTATTTCTGATCCGCTATTCTTTCGAACGAACAGCGTTCGCAATGAATCCAGGAGGATACTTCAATGACATATTTTAATTAATAAAGAAAAGAAATGAAATAATTAATCAAAGTACACCATATTTGAAAATGGATTTCCAATTAAAGAGAGTAGGCAAAACATAAAGCAAAGAAACATCATCAAATTGGGTAAAACTCACAGCTTATTTATATAATTATTAAATGCAAAATAGAGTTTTTATAAAAAATCTTAGTACTTTGAAAACATCACATTTTTCTCAGCACTTCAATGAACTTGACAAAATTAAAAAAAAAACTTGAAACTTGGGCAAGTTTTTTGTTTGGAAATTTATCTGCAGTCTATCAGTAATAATATAGGAACTGAAAAATTCACTGAAATTCTATCCCTTCAGAAAAAAGAGAAAAGAGGAAAAAAAGAAAAAGAAATTACAACTGTTACTTGGACAGTGTTATTTTAGTTAAATTAGCACGAAATACAAAGACAGTAACTTTTAATTAGTGGTTGAACAAATAAACCACTACAAAACGGTCAACGAAAAGCGATGAAAGAACACAGATAGTCATTAGCAAGGCGTAAGAAAAGATTTTAAAGATGCGACAAACCATATATAATTTCCAGGATCGCGCTTCATCGGACTAGGAAGATGTGTTACTACTGTACCTTTCGACAGTGCGTTCAACCATGTACAGTATGCACGAACTGCAACACAAAATGCTTCATGTTCTTTGTTTGTAGAATGAGACAACGTCAGGGCATAAGATAATACCTGAAAAAACACTGCTACAGAAATGATCAATTCGATACAAAATATATGTAAAAAGCACTAAATAATACTTAAAATAATTAACCGGGAAGTAATATCTGCATTTACGACTAATATTACTTTATTAATTAATATACGATTTTTGCGTTTTCTTACAGTACCTTATTCACTCAAAAAAACATTAAAAAATAATGAAGCATGCATCTTGTTTTAATGTGAATTAACAAAGATTCCCCCAGACTGCCTGATCTTTCAGGCATTTTGGAAGCTAACATCTTGGAAACCAATAAAGAACCACGAATCAAATGAATCAGAAAGCGAATTTACAACTTGCACGCAGGTTAAACTACAACCTGAAACTTTGTGATGTAATTTTTGATTGTGTACTTACTGTATAGTGGAAAAAAGTTGAATAAGCAGACATCCACTTCTAACCACAAAACTTATCAATCAATCCGTAAAATGTCTCTTTTGAAAAACTGATTTACGTTATATAACATTAATCACCGTGATTAAAATACATAAACACATAAATCAGTGAGAATTCTACAGTGATCTGTTTGTTTTAAAAGCACATATGAAAATCATGATCTAAGCCAATAATATCTTGAAGTTTGGATAATGTTCAGTTATTTACCTCATCTTCTTTCTACTCGTCTATGTTTTAACATTAATCAGTTTTTCGGAACTGAATATGAAAAAGAGACCTGTAAAACCCATGAAAATTGCTCTTCAGTGTCAATTTTGAGACACATTCGTCCATTTAAATTCTCTCCAATTTCATGCAGCAATAACTCTGCTACATTATCACCTGTCTTTCTGCAAAATAAAAATAATTATAATGATAGTGGCAGTTTGAAATTTGGATAGATTATTTTCTTTAAAAAAACAGCATATGTCAATTCAGAGTAAGGTTGCTGAAATTATGGCAATTATTCAGCAATAAACAAAAAATTATTTGAAAATAAACAGACTTTGAAAAAACCGATAAAGATGACTGGGCAGTATTTAATGGAACAAATTCAATCAGCGGCCACTCAGCATAGAAGCCCATTTTTTGATCATATAGATTAACAAACGGTTTGTGCTGTTATTACATTTTCATCGATTCGATTAAATAGTCCTCAAATGTAATAGTGATAAGAAATTTGTTGCAAGATAAGAGAGTCTCATAAGCGATCGATTCTATACGTATGTCACATCAATTCGGTTATGATTCAAACTTACATTAAATAAATAACGAATCATCACAATAAATCAAATACTATGATAACTTCCGAAGATATAATTTTGTAATGAGTACTGGTAGCTAATAACTAAACAGAGGTGGCAAATTCTTTACGAGAATAATGCTAACCACTAGACATCGATTGGAAAAGTAGCTCAGACAAACTTCCAAATCACATAAACTTACAAATAAAATAACTGACAATTACTTTTATATCCGAGTCAGTTTAGCATTTCGCAAATCAAAAAGCCATGTCTTTCTTCAAGAGATTCCCGCTTTTAATTTTCAAGTGTAAAGGAATGCCAATCAATTCGACTGGCATGGCATGCTTGAACTAAGACGTTGATCATAAAGTCGAAATATCTTTGAAAAACTTTATTTAAGAATTCAACATAAAAAAAAGGCAATGAAACGACTGCTTAAACAAGAAACGTGAACATGAAAAACATTGGGCGCAGAGATCGATAATCTGAAAGCTGTTTTGAATTTTTGAAATCCACATAAATGATATCACAGCTAATTTGCAAGGCTAGTGAACTTGTAATACTTACAACCAATTTGAGACTTTAAATTAAATTCTCACTTTTCTTCCATTTGAACAGTTTTTTCGAACAAAAAGTAAATTCTAAAAATGATCAGCACGGGTAACATCAGTATTGAACCCAAAATAAAGCACCATTAATATGATCAACAACAAAACCGAATAGATGGCTGGATAAAAATAAGACTGAAAACCGTAACCTGAAGTGAAAACAAAATAACGGCATATTGATAACGGATGGATCAGACAATAGATGTCAGTACATAACTTTGTGATGCTATATCACTATAAGTATTAATTACGGCAGCAAGAAATCATAATGGAATCTTGAAAATAGTTTTAATGAGTTCCAAGAGTATGAGCAGTTCTACAATACATTCATAATAAAAAAAAAGGTTTCACAAAGAGATACTTTGGATAATATGGCATATCATGGAGATCATTTATATCCTATGGAAAGTTCTGATGAGTACTCAAGAAGAGAAAAATAATTGGATGTTAAAAACAAATTCTCTGAAACACATTACGGGTTGCAAATCAATAACTTTGATTGCAATTGAAAAAGTCCTGGTGAGTAATGTACAAAATGCAATGCAATTTTCAAAATAATTAAATTTCAGCGATGTTAACGGGACAGAGAAAAAAGTAAAAACAAAAAGCGTAGAAAATGTCACGTCAATGGCTATAATCCACCCCAATAAAATTTTCGAAGACTTTTATCGTCTTATCAAAAATTTAGAAATGAACTCATTTATCTTTAATTCTTGGTTGATCTTTGTAATTTAGAGTTGACGCAAAAGAAAAGTCTTTTATCTCTATCCTATTTATTTCATTATAATTCCCACTAGAACAAGCTATCACTAAATTTCTCTATCCCATTTGTTTCATTTTAATTCTCACTAGAATAAGCTACGCTAAGTTTTATAAAATAGAAAAATTGAATGCCAAACAGGAAAAGGAAGTATCGTATCAATACAGTGTCAATCTATCCACCGAACGCCACTTTGTCCTTACAAGGTGCATGAACGATTTGTAAATAATGTATTCGCCCAGCGTCGCGCAATTCCCGTTTTCGCTCTTCTTCAAACAACATCAAACAAATATTTACTGTTCGGTCAATTTCAGACTCTGCAATAATGTTTGGAATTAAACAATATTTCTGTTCAAGAAAAAAACAAGAATGCGCGACTCAAATAAAAAAAAATGTATTGAAGTGATTTTAATCCCACAAAGCATAAAGACTGTCGTCAAACTTCTACTGAAATGATACAAATCACTGAAACGATAAATATACCATCGTATCTACAATTTTCCATGAGATGACGTGCATGTAAAAGCGCTAATTCTCTATCAAACAACGAAGTGCCAGTGCCAGGAACGAACGATAAAACCTGGAGTAAAATAACAGTAGTTAGGTATTGTTTGCAAAATTTGCAAAATCAGAAAAAAATCAATTTGATTCTTTTTATAATACACGGTTGATCAGAACGTCAAAAATTGTCGTAGACTGGTTTTTAATACTGTAAGCATTTTTAAATGTCCTTACGCAGATGGGTTCCTTCGCAAAAAAAAATTTCATAATGAATTATTAACAAGACTAAACTTCTAGAATTATTTTAAATAACGAAAATGTCTGGAAAATTCCATTTCTCAGTAAACAATTTAATTTAACTTACGTGGTTACAATAATCCAGTGCAAGGATAAAATTAGATTCTTCACGTTTGGTGTGAACTATATAGTACAAAAGCAAAATAGAGTAACACATCAACGTAATACCGACTAAATGGCGTCTCAGTCCGTCAACCACATTTACAGTCTGTCGCTTTATATGATTTGTTTTCATATTATCAGAATCAGAATCCTGAAATTTATTCTAAAACAATTTCTCGAAATAATAATCACAAAAACTGAGAAATATTCTCAAAATCAAAAGAATTGGACTTATAAGGCGATCCACGAGTGATCTAAGGAGAATGTAGTTTTGATATTTGAAAACGATATGTAAATCGCAGTGGTTAATGAGAGTTAAAATAGACGTTTCAGAAGCAAGTAACCGGTAATGAAATTACTAGATGCCAACGAAAAGAATGAAACAACTGAATATAAATAGAATAAATGGTAAAAGAATTACAGACGTTTTTCGTATTAATTACAAAGGGTTAAAGAAATATTTACAAAAACAAAATCAATCGTAAATGAGCAAAAAAAATTACCGAATCGTCATCACTAACATATACATGTCCACAATCACACGCATCACATCGCATAAACTCAGTAGATACTTTTCCCTTAGCTTTTTCATGCTCCGCACGGGCCAATTCTAAAATGCTTTTCAAAAACTTGGAAATATTCATACCCGTGACTCGTCACAGTAAATATTCTCAAGTAAAAGTAAACTGCTTTTGTTCCAAAAGATAGATCTAGTTTCAATAACCTATATGCATAAAAAATATAACCATCATGATGGTCAAAACTATCCAGTCTTTCGGTACAGTATGTTTCAGAAACACATGAACAAAGTCACCAAAAAAAGTTATCAATAACTTCATCTAAAACTATTTGCGTTTATTACTGTAATACTCTTATAACTGCTTTTTTTTGCTCGATGAGTTACACAAACTGTTTGAATTCAAAGTACGTTGAGCAACTATTCTCTGGATTCGAGAGAGTTTTAAGAAGTGCATAAAATCAAAAAGTCACAGCATCTACAAATAAAGAACTCATTCAGAATCATAAAATAAAGTTTTGAGAGGTTTCAAGATAAGAATATTTATATCAATATCATATTGCTATTCTTTCTAGTTGGCATCAATGAATTTATTCTCTTTGACAAAGCAAATGGATTGGCAATTGAGATCTGATAGCATATATTTTAGAGTAAATCTTTAAAAAAAGTTTTGCAATCCTTATTCAAGGTATCAATTCAATAAAAACGCATTTGTCTTGAAAAAAAAAATGGATAAAAAGTACCTTCAAAAAGGCCACTTGGAAATAACTCAATAACATGTACAGCGAGTACACCGCGTCGAAGTGCATGAACAGCTAATCGGAAGGTATGTCTATCTAACGCCAATCTATAAAAAAACAAAAGTAATAGGGAATGGAAACTGGTCAGAATATATTCAATTAATCTAGTGCACTATTTGCCGAAAAAGATGCAAATGAGTGTTTGGCAGTATCAGAATTAAACAGATTTCGAATTTTTTTCAAATGAAGTTTAAAAGATTAGGATCGAGACCAATACATGGGATCGAAGAGAAATGAAAATTAGAGCACTGCAATAAAATTAGGCGATAATGAGTGCTATAACAGTGCTACTTAATAATTCATCAAGAAAGATAAGAGAATAGTTAAAGGTTGATTATACTTATTACATAGTAGCAGGTTGAATAATTTTCACGATTTATGAGAAGAAACTACTTCACTTTGGTAGAGTGCGCTTTGAAACTGGATAATTATATGTCAATGACTAGAAACACTACAAGCAAGATCTACAACTAAATTTAAACTAAATTTATGCAGGATATTTACGAGAGATGTAAAACATGACTTTCATTGCCATTCACGTTCATAGAATTGGATTGAATGTATAAATGATAGTCATAAGTAATGGAAATCATGAAACAATGATTTGCTGCTTACTCGGAGTCCTTATCTGGTCCTGATAATAGACTGAGGGCTTCCATAATACATTTATGTGCTTCTTCCAACAGATAACAACCTTGCGACACCGTTAAATCATCATCTACACCATTATCATTGCCATTCACGTTCATTATTGTCTGAAAACCTTCTGATAAAATCACAGTAAAATCGCGTCACCATTAGACACGAAACGCAACTTAAATGCAAACAATCAAATTCGGTACTGTGCAAACTTCGACAGCCATCCGAATATAACTACAGTGTGAGAAATAAAATCGAACAAATTACTCAGTTTATCGATTAAAAACAAATGGGAGGGAAACATTAGCGCCACTGCCACTAAACGTTAAATGATTGTCTTTACAAAACCCTCAAACAACGAGACGCGAGATTTGCTTCTCATCACTCCGCGTTCGCACCACACTCCCAACCCTGTCTATCATCCCCGTCTCCCCGAGACATCCCACCCACTCACAGAACATCCACACTGTAGACATCATCCCATTGCTGCTTCCCTTTTCTACCGCATATTACACAGCGCCAACATGCAAATTTCCTGGACAATTGCAAAAGTGCAATAAGATGACGTCATATATTGGCATATTGAGGATTGAAGCAAAATGTTAAACGAGAGGAGAAATCTCGATCCAGGTTTCTTGCAGAGAGAGAGAGAAATTTGCATTGATTGATAATGACAGATTCTTTCATTTTCAATTCTCGAATTACTCCTAATATCCTCAGTAGTAGTAATTCGTGAATTGAGAATGATCCAAATTTCATATAACGCACTCTTATGAATACGCTACTCATTTCATATTCAATTATTGATTAACTCATTTCATATCAATTATATTTAGGAATTTTTTAAGATCGAGCTATCCGTAAATTTCTTACAACATAAAGTATCAAAATATTCAGGTAAATACAGGTAAGCGTGTGAAGTTATAGCAGAATGTGAAGAGAGGGAATGGAGAGAAATGAAAGAGAGAATGGAGAGGAAAAGAAAAAGTTAACAACTTCATCAACGTCAAAGGCTATACTTTCAATCTTTCTCTACCACAAAAAATTGCTAAAAAAGATAAATATGACGAAATTCAAAAGAATTGATGACATATGCTGCTAATGATGTTTCAAGAAAATTTAAGTTCTGCCGCTTCATCCAGTTTTTTTAAAGATTTGCAATTGGAGGCACTTCAAGATTTAAAGTTTTTCGAATTTCTATAAAATAAGTATTAAATCAGTCAATTAATGAAATCCAATTACGATCCATGCCTATATTTTTCAACAATATTATGCTGAAATTATAACCTTAAATATCTTCACATGCACTGCTAACTGAACTTACTTTCTCCTTCAACAATATTCAAAGACATTTTTCAGTGAGAATTTTCACTGTTAGCATTGACTGACCAATGATGAATAGTTCAATCGAGTCGTTTCACTCATTGTCAGTTGATTTTCTTTCTTCATTCATTTCAACATTTTTGATAGTAGCAGCAATAGCCTTACTTTAGAACGGTAACATTTTTGAAATTTTGTGGTTCAAATTTCGGCTTATCAGAATATGCCGCGTTTCCTATCATTTTTTACTCTTTCATTTTTTCAACTTGAGCTAGCCGCGGATAAAATTTTGCAAAGATTTGCTTGAGACTAACATGTTAGCGATGGATCAATGATACTAGAAAAAATGCAAAAAAATGGCTTCTCTTTTGATTGAAATATATTCGTTCCGATATGATCAAATTCAGATATTCGATATTTTAAACTAAAAATTTGAAATAGCAATTTTCCTCAATGTCATTTTCAGAATCGAAAACAACTTTTGCTGAA